CTTTTCTAAAGCCTTTTACTCAGTGTGGCAGGACGGTATTGTTTATAAACTTATTGAAAAGGGTTTTGACTCAACGACATGTCGGATGATTGACAGTTTTTTGACAGACCGTAAATTCAGGGTGAGATTGGGGGACACTTTATCGGACGAGAGGTCCATTTCAGCGGGAGTACCACAGGGTTCGCTTCTGGGACCTGTGTTGTACAATATTTATATGTCGGACATACCCGAACCACCAGGGGATGAGCTTTTATTAATATACGCTGATGACATACTTGTGGCCTCTTCTGGTTCTAGGGCAAGGACAGTTAATAACGGACTGAATGAATATCTGGCGACTCTGACAGATTATTTCGCGAAATGGGGACTTAAACTTAACGTACAGAAGACTGTGGCGATGACATTCAAGGGCAAACGGAAGCATATTTATCCAAATTGGAGGAAGCACATTCCATGTTTGATGGTAGGAGGGGAACCGATTCCGACATCGGACAGAATGAGGTACTTAGGTGTCACTTTCCAGGAGAAGTTCGAATACTATAGACACTTGGATAATGTTCTACAAAGGTCGAAGAGGGTGTACTCTGCGTATCAGGGTATTCTGAGGCGGAGGGGTGGACTTGATAAGAGGTTACGCCTCTTGGTATATCGTCAGGTAATCAGACCTCTCATTTCCTATGCCTTTCCATCTTGGTTTGGAATATCATCCTCCCAAATGGAGAGGCTTAGGAAGTGGGAGAGGAGAGTCCTCGTAGCTTGTCTGGGTATGAGACCCCAATTGGGATCTGACGGTATACCTCGTAGACCATCCTGTAGGTCGATCTATGATGCAATTGATTTTGCCAGGGTCGATGTTTTTATGGTGGAGGGAGCCATAAGGTTTCTTGAGCGTGCTCGTTCCTTAGAGAACGGTTTGATACGGGATTGTTTTACTAGGGAGAGGAATTTGGAGGCCATTCGGCTGTCAAGGTATCTTTCCCCGGTTGATCTTTTGACCCTTAGGGACGCTGGTCTTCTCTTCGAGGGTGCAGATCTCCTGTTTTATCATAGGAGAATTGATACTTTGAACATAGTTGATACGGTATACAATACCGCTCAATAATCCATTTTGGATATTTTCTGTATATAAATTTCCTTTACTACCTCTATCTTGTATATATTAGTCTGTAAGATGTTCTTATTTAGTTTTAAGTTAGATGTAAGATAAAATACGAGCGTCTCCCTTTTTTAAGCCCTTTTTTAGGGAAATGAGTAAATGTATAATTAATACCGTATAAGTGAAGCAGCTGAGCTGCATATGATTTGATTGAATGTATAGTCTTTGTATATTACCAATAGTATGTAAGGAATAGTAATAAGCTGAAAATGTATTAGTTCTTAAGATATTGATTGTATTGGAATGAATTTCTGGGGTAAATAAACTAAACTTGAAACTTGAAACTTGACAATTTATAAAACACTTTATATGTTTAAATTTGATAATAAAGTGATATTTTTTGTAAATGCTCAACGCATTGTTAAAGGTCAAGCATTCCTTTAACATTGTGAGTAATCAATTAATAATTTGATTGTTTTAATCATCAACTTAATTGGTTTTTAATACATTTTCTACCAAACAAACTAATTCATTTGATTAATAAATTAATAAAAATTAGATTTTATTTTTATTAAATATTTAATTTATACAATTAATGAATTAATCAATTTTAAATTTTGTCTCAATTATTGATATTAATTGTTCTGATTAATTCGTTATTTGGAAAAAAGTATTTTTTTAATTTTTTATAAATTTGATAATTGATATCATCACTTCGGTAATAGGTGCAAAACTTGCTTGATACAATTATTTTGATAATTGAAACATATTTTTAGTTTTTTCTGTGTATGTATATAAAATATATAACTCGTGTAAACGAACAAAATTTGTACGTATAACATTCCAAAGAAACCAAAAAGTTTATTATTCTTTAGAAAAGTACTTTAATTATTATAGAAGACCAAAAAAATTAATAACAGATCGAGGTTCTTATATTACATCTATGGAATTTGCAAATTTTCTGATTGGTTTCAGAAATTATCTCAAGTTGAATACATATGTTATAAACAATACTGTACATGGGTCCACATCCCACATTTGCTGAAAAACAGGGAGGTAAGGTAGTGGATGCATTAACAATATATTTGGATGATAAAGTAAAAAACCAGAATAGTCGTGATTTAGAATTACAGAGATTAAAAGCGTTAGAAGAACCAATAAATAATAAATGAATAAATCATAATATTCGATTCCAAAAGGATCTATCATCTATAATAACCTAAGTCCATATGTGCGACTCTTGATTTATTCGCCATATAGGTATGTATAGTAGGTGGGTCTAAAATCAACTTCTAATAGTGAAATTATGTTGTATTTTAACGTCAAATGAAAGACTGTTCCGTGGTTCTGAAGACACATAAAAGTAAATAAAAGAATTTTTTTTTAGTTTTGAAAATTATTATAAAAAATATAACGCTTACCTTTACAAGATCCATAAATATGCTAATACGAATTTTTGTTCAAATTGTATAACACATACTTGGTTTAGTATGTGGTCAAAAAGAGACCATTATTTTAACAGCATCTCCAAAACTCAATTTTCAAAATTTAAAAAATTTTGTTAAATGGATTTAAAAAAAATAAAATTTTCTATACTGTATTTTACAAGGGATATACATAGGAATCAAACATAAAAAGAATGAACTCAATACCTCACATTGTTTTGCCGTACTTGCGATGTGAAATTGAAAGATTTCGAGAAAAGAGCAATTTTTGCCAACAATAAAGTAAAAATTATATTATTAAAAATTTTTGCTTAATTTTGATTATGTAAATTGAAAATATTATTTCTGAGTCAATTAGAAGTTATTGTTAATCATTTTTCTTAAATCGAGAATCGTTAAACCTTTCAACCGGGGTCAAAAACAAGTTTTTGTATATTTGATATTCTTCATTAAATCTAGCAAAACGTTGTGTGTTTAATTATTAATACTCATATTTTGACAAACTACACAAATCTAGGAATCAAACTTCATCAAAAATTAACCCTTTGGCATACTTGGGTCAATTCAAAACCACTTTATTTTAAATACTTAATTAAACACTTATTTAAACACTTTTAAATAGAAATTTTGTAAAATTAATTTTCTTAAAGGATTAATGGGTATATATTCTGTATTTGGCATAAAGTATGATTTATATAAGTATACTACAATTAACTTCTAAGAAGTTTCATCAAATTCCATCAAAAAATTAGCAACATCATGGTCCTATTTGTTCAAGAACATAAAATATTCAAAATTTAGATTTTGACCCCAGTTTTTAAAGGGTTCTTAATTTGGGAAATTTGATCAGAAATAATTTTCTCGAAATAATAATCTCAATTTACTTGATCAAAATTAACCAACAATTTGTAATAGTAGGAAATTGCCCTTTTCCCGAAATCCATTAATTTCACATCGCAGGTAACACAAAACTATGAGAGTTATTAAGCTCATTCTTTTTATGTTTAATTCTTATATATATATATCCCTTATAAAATCCAGAATGGAAAATTTTAATCTTTTTAAATCTATTTAACAAAACTTTTTAAAGTTTGAAAGTAGAGCTTTTGTGATGCAGTTAAACTAAACCAAGTAAGCGTTATATTTATATTTATGGATCTTGTAAAGGTAATCATTATATTTTTTTGTAAATTTTTCAAAAATAAAAAAAATATTATATTTACTTTTATGTGTCGTCAGAACCACAAAATTCTCCAGGGAAATTGTAATAACTCAAAAATTTTTTAACCAATTTTAAGTTTTTTATGTTTTTTGGAAAGACAATTTTGTATGCATAACGATTTTACTATAAAATAGTGCAAAAAGTATTACTTAATACCTCATTTAGGTGAAATTTTTCCCATAATTAAATATATAATAATTTAATAATATTTTACAGTCTTTCATTTGACGTTAAAATGCAACATATTTTCACTATTAGAAGTTGATCCGAGAGAAAAGCCTTTCGACTCCCCTAATACATACATATGTATATAGGCATTCTCTTGCATGTTTTTGCCAGTTTTGTTACGAGCTTTTAGCTTCCTTGTTTGCGCTAAAAAAATATGTTTTTGATGGGAAATAAAAGTGATTTCAAATTTAGCTTGTTTTTTATGAAAAATGAACTTTTATATTTTTTTTATTAAAAAGTCAGTTTTTAGTGAATAATAAAAGTGATCACAGATTTTACTTGTTTTTATTCTATCTTCTATAGTTTCCGGGAAAATGCACTTTTAAATTTTTAATAAAAATCGGTTTTTATTATTTGTTCTTAAAAAAAGTCGTTTTTCGCCCAAAAAAATAACAAAAATCTACATATTTTGAATTTTTAAATTGAAAAACCCTTATTTTTGGATCCATAAATGATAGCTCTCTGATTTTTTTTGCATGTAATTGATAATTTGGTTGTTCAACTAACAAAAAGAAGATCTAGTCCATTCGATTCAAAATAACGTCCTTTATAAGAGGTAAATAATAGCACACGCAAACATGTAAAAAATCATTAATATCAGATGAAAAGAAAAATAGCAAGCGATTAAAAATTTTACATGTCGAAGGTACCCCACTTTGAGCTCCTATAACGCCGCCCCTAAATGATGTGTGGGCTTCATTTTTTAAAACTTTATTTTATCCTCATCGAAATGCCGGATTTATTTCCAAAAAATGTCCATTCCTCCCCATTGTGCCTTGTTAGATAGACAATTTTCTATGGGAGATAAGATTTGATTTAAATATTAAAAATTATGATATGAATGCCATTACTTTTGAAAAAATCAAAGAAAGACCTATCCTGTTATCCGATTTGACTAAAGTTTTACATAGGTAAGTTATAGACACAAATAAAGAAAATAAGACTTTTTTCTATATTTTTTGCACCACTAATGTTCATTACACTTATTTAATTACTGCTCATTCTACAGATTGGACCATCTTATGTACAACTCCACATGAAATCACCATCAATGGGTCGTATCGAAATTTTGCAAACAGTGACACCAATTGAACCCATGTTGCAAAAAGTTGTTCATCGATTTTATGCGCCTAGGATGCTGGGTCCCTTTATGAAGTTTGCTGTATTCGGAGAGAGCATTATGGTAATATACATATATATGCATTAGAGATGAGCGATATTTTCACTACTGTGATTTAAACAGGTTGATTGATAATTCACTGGTAACTACTGTGACTAAAATTATCAAATAACAGTTACTTGCAATGCCGTTCTTTTCAATTTTTACTTTATAAAATTAATTTATTTTTTATTTTTCCATAACATAAAATCCTCTGGCTCTGATGTCACCAATTCATACATCACCGTGCGACAGCAATTATTTTACCAGAACGAGATCATATACTCATGGTACTAGAGGTCATCTAAAGTGAAACTGGGTTTTCAGTTTTACATTTTGTGATATTTTCTCTTTTTTAAAGCACTTTAAAGTTGTAAGGATATTAAAATATATTAACTGAATAATTTTCATCAATATGGGTATCAAATGACAGAGGACAATCTCCGGAACTCAAATCAATTTTTTTGTTTTTACTTTTTAGGACGAAATATTTTAAATAATATCATTTGCAAATTTCTTCCCTTTATATCGTTTGGAATATCTAATATATTTTTCTTAAAAAAATATATGTTAAAACTTTACGTATTCTTAACCGAATACTTAATTTTTGTTCCTATAGCTTTATCAGTTTAGCCGCTAGAAAAAAATATATTATAACTCTAATATTAAAAAAAAAGTATTTCTTGCTAAATAAGGAAATTAATTTTAATAAAATACTGGACACTGCTTATATGACTTGAACAAAACTAAATACTCGTGAAAGCAGTGTTATTTTCAAAGAACGTCAAAGTATTAAGAGTATAAACATTTAAAAAAAGTTTCTATCTTTGTATCAATATATGCATCAAATTAAAGGAAAGGATGTCTAAATATGATAATGAAATATATTGCTTTCATTTTCAAGTTGAGAAATAGATTGACCTTTAAATATATTATTCCTTCAAATTACTGAAAATTTCCAATATATGTACATTAGAGGGTCACGAGGAACAGCCTTTTTAAGAATTTCATATAGGAATACCTCTCAATCGATACGTATTAATGTACTGAACACCAGAAGAATAAAAATTATTTTTTTTCGAATGGTCCTCAGTTTTCTACCAGCGATTGAAAATCCTGACCTCAGTATAATTTGTTAAAAATAAAGTATTTTCGATTATTTTGAAATGGTTCTCAAAAATTTTGAGGTAATTAGGGAAAAATAATTTTAAAATTTTTGTAGAGTATTTTTGGTCCATAAAATTATTTTAAGTTGGTTAGAAAGGCATATTATTTTCGCCTTTTATCGAAATTGGTGTCAAAATTGTCGTAAGTTTTAGTTTATACAGAGAAGTATTAAAAAAATAGTTTGGCATTTGGTTTGGTCCATTTTAGAATTTTTTAGATTCTTTTGAAATTTATGTACCCCTTATAATACACTAAAAGTCGTTTTTCGGACCAGGAATAGTCTAACAAAATTTTTAATTATTTTTCCCGCGATAAGCTCAAAATTATGGAATTTTTGAAACCCATTTCGAAAATATTGCATAAAATATTTTTTGTACTGAGATCAAGATTTTCAGTCGTTGCAAAAAGGGTTGAATTTGGGAAAAAATGGAGATTAATTGAAAATGTAAAATTATTTTTTTTGAAAATTTCTTTTTACTCGATTAAAGAGTACAAAATTCTACATCACTAGTAAACATTTCAATGTCATATGTTGTTGAATTTTTCTGTTACATAGCTTTAAAGTTGAGAACTTTTTCTTTTTTGTAAAAAGTTGAAATAATTTAAAATCGGACTATTTTGAAACTTTATAACCTTTTTCAATACTTTAAAAAACATTTTTGTTATGGAATCATGAACTTCAGTCAATTAGGTGGGATCGAAAAAAAGAATGGTAAATCCATGTTGAAATATTTTTATTATTTTTTCTTAAATATGTCAATGTTTGCGCTATTTTTGAAATGTAGAGTTTTAAATGGGTATTGGGTAACATTGGGTAAAAATATAAATTTTGTATTAAACTACAATATGTTGGCTTTAATAATCAAAACTAGTTTTGCGCGAATCACTTTTATTAAATAAATTGTAAAAATAGTCACTGATTAAAAACCAAATGTTCTTGTCTTAATTTGTTTATCATCGTTTTCGTTGTTTTGATTTATGTTTACAACAGAGACGAGCAAAACCACTCACGTGATTATCTTGAATCACGCGTGATCTCAAATTATCGTGATTTTTTACTTTTTTGTATTCATTCCCGTGGTTGTAATCAAGGTGAGTCATAAATATATTGACGTGGGAATTTCGTAGACCGATTAATGACCATGTTTGATTTTTCTTTATACTCTACTATACTTACATGGTCGTGGGTAAAAGGTACTCACGATCCCAACTCTAGTTTAGACAAAGCATTGAGAGCTGGTTTATATTACATAGTTCATCCTAATCAGCACTATTTGAATAGTTATGAGGTGGTTTATGAAGAGAAGTATAATAATTTTTGGCACCATGGGAAATATAAACGAGTTTACCACATTTTATTTTTATTAAAAAATGTGTATTTTTATGTGTTTTAACATATCGATGAACAATAAGTTCAAATTAAAGCTCTCGTATTTAGTACATTAATACGCATCGTTTGAGAGATATTCCTCCAAAAAAGTGGTTCACGGGACATCCTAATGTACATATGAGCAATATCGTGTCAAGTAATCCAACTCAAAAACTCGATTTGGATAAAATTTGCACCAAGATTAGTACTATTGGATAGTAGGCCAGACACAAATTTTCAGCTCCGGAGTTAGAAAAGGTCAAAGTTGGAGATTTTGCTCATACAGGGTTTTTTTCAAATGACTTTAACAAAAGAGTTTAGATAGCTATTTCTTCACTGTTTGCATTGTTTTTTCAAAATGTGCCCTTTTTACTCAAAAAAACCCAGTAAAAAATTTTTAGGCTTTAGGAAGCTAAAAAGGGAAGTAACTGCATCTGTATTCGCTTACTGTTAAGAATTACTGAGAAGCAGGAAATAAGGGAATACCAATGATAGGAGTAATTTTATAATGTAAGCTGAAATCCCTTACAATCCCTTACAGAGAAGCAGATTGTAAGTGAAGTATTTAAATAATATTTAAGCTTACTAGTGGGAATGCTTCCAAGTGGGAATTCGCTATATAAAAATCATGCCTTATCGAAGCAGGTTTGTAAGGGAGAAAATAGCTTCGTTCCCTTACAAACCTGCTTGCATGTAAGCTCCAATTTTTACTGGGAAGCTTATACAATTTCTTTTAATAGCTTAATGGGATGGGACATAAAATTGCCCATATATTTTGGTAAAGAATTTAATTATTAAATTGATCATTTGTTTCTATTTTTCAGGACGAAAAAAATTATTTTAATTTTGTTGGTTCTGATAAAAAATTTATCAACTTAATAATTTCATGCTTTATTTGGAAGAATAACATTTTAAAAGGATATTTCCATTTTTAGAGACCGTACTACCTTACTTCACGCCCAGTAACACAGAGATACAAATATTTGAACAAATAAAAAAATATTATATTCTTAAAAGTTTGAAGTCCTTAAAAAGGAAAAGGGATTAGAAAATTTAAATTAGAGTAATAATATAATTTTTTCTAGTGGCTTAACTATGAAATATATAGAAACAAATTTTATGTATGTGGTATATAATACATAAGGTTTCAACATATATTAATTAAAGAAACAAGTAATAAAAATTCTCAAGGATATGAAAGGATGACATTTTCAAAGACATTATTTAAAATATTTGGTCTTGAAACATAAAAACGAAAAATATATTTGATTTTCAGATATTGTCCTATATCATTTGATACACATAATGGCGTAAATTATTTTGTAAATATATTTTAGTAAATTTTAATATCCTTACAACTTTAAAGTCCTTTAAAAAGGAGAAAAGACCACAAAATGAAAAGCGGAAAACGCAGTTTCACTTTAAATGATCTCTAGTGTCATATGTATATATGTATATGGTCTCGTTTAAGTCCAATAAAAAATTGTATCACGCTGTAATATATAATTCTCACAAAAATCTTTAAGATCCAATAAAATACATTGTTATTGTAAAAAATTCGGTTTTAAACAAAATAGTCGTAAAAAAATATTAAAAAAATTAATAATTTATTAATAAAATACAGTGATTTACAAATCACGTTCATTAAGAACAACGGTCTTTAGAAATCATTGGATCGCTCATCTCTTATATGCATATTGTAAATTATTGTGTGCATTTGAAAATTAAAAAGTAATGTATTTATAGTTTGAACGGGATATGTGTATGTGGAACCACAAGATATTTCGAAAACAGCCTCAGTTAGTAAAAGAAGATATGTCTGTAAAATTATTTCGTAATTGGTATTCCCAATTCTACTCTCAGAATAGCCGCTCATTTAGCGAAGCTTATGAAAATTTTGATTGGTAATTTTAATTCATACACATATGTATTTTTACTATTAGAAAAAAATGCAACCAGTGGTCCTTGTGATTTAAATAAACTTTTCAGAAATTCAAAAACATAAATTAGTTGTATTTTTTCATGTAGCTTAATTAAATCAGGTAACAGTGCAAATCTCAGCATATTAAAAAAAAATATATATATATTTTTTAAATTTTCTAGAACATACGTATAATTTTAGATGCCTTTCAAGAAGGTTTTATATATTCCCAATAAATATCAAAAGTTGCGATTTTTGACCGACCGTTATTGATACGACAACATCGGATGCAACGGTGAGCGGGTGTTCCGTATCTAGATCAACTACATGCTAAGGAACAGATGGATAAGTTGCGTGATGTACGATATAACTATCAGAAAAAGGTATTTCGCGGTACACCACAAGGTGGTAAGCACGATTAATAGCTTCTGGACACATTGAAAGGCTATACACAATCATCGGTCGTGCCCGATCGACCAGACATAGAATATGTCGGGAACTTAAACACTGATTCCAGTGGATCATTACAGCAAATATCCATAGGAATCCGTTCCTACACGGATAACTCTAAATTTGAGGACAACGTAGGGCTGGGATTCTATATGAAGATACAGAAATAGAAATATACCACCGTTTACCTAATCAAAATACTTGCTTCCAGACAGAAGTTCGAGCAATAATGAAATGCGTAAGAGCATAATACAAAATTATCCACTATGTCAAATGCTTTAGAGCAGTGCTGCCCATACACATACTGTTACACATTAATTTGTATTGGTAAAGCAGCAGAGAACAAAATGTAACCCAAAATAAAACTGTACTAATAAAATGACTGCAAACTAAAAAGTATATTCTAACTGTCAAATTGATATTATGGATTTTGACAGACAGCGTACATTAAAGTTCATATATAAAAAACTATCAGCTGTGCTCTCTCATTCATCTACATAAATTCGGCTTCCTCAAAACTTTGTTGTTGTATTTCTGTGTGGATTTTAAAAAAGTTGCGTACAGATCTTGCTTCGACAAATGCTGATCAGCAACTGAGTTGATTTTGTTGTGCAAGTTGAGAGATAATCAACTAACACATGCTCAAATAAGAAAATACACAAGTAAGGTTATAGTGTAGGTGAGTCAACGCAACGTCAGCAGAAATTTCTGCCCTATCTCGCGTGATAGGGAATCGCGATTTTGGGCAACATTGCTTTAGAGTGATCTAGAAGGACAAATAATGTCACATTTCCAGAATCAATACTACAACGGTCAGTGCAGATACACAGTTGTGTTTTGAACGAAACCCAGATTGCTTTTCGCTTATAAGATTATAAGTACATAGATGTTCTCTATATTGACAAAATCTTATATGGGGAAGTTTGAAAAATCCAAATTTTTGGTAAATAATAGGAACACGCTTAGTATCTCAAAACAAAGCTAATATTGTTCTCCAAAATTTATATTATATTGTACATAATACTTGATACTTTAAGTCAAACAGAGTACAAAAACTTTTGTCCCCAAAAACGTGAACTGGTCGCGGTAGGAGCATACTTCGTGTATTTTGAAATTATGTATTAGGTATAAAACACAAAAATTGGTTGAAAATTTTAAAAGTTAAAAAAAATTTATCAGGCCATTAGCGTGTCCCAGGGCACTTGATTAGGAAATGTGGAAAAATTTATCTTATTTTGGAAAATATTCTAATAAAACTATTTTATTACATAAAATATACATATCTATATTTACTCGAATATAAGTTTTTTCCTTAAAAGAACTTCAATAAACCATTGACAGAGGCTCGACCCTTCTTTAAGCCAACAATAAGTTAATTTTTAACAACTTATTTCTCAGATAAAGCTTTTTTCGGGTTGATAGCGAAAACGAATTATGGTTTCTTTTAGAATGAAATCTAAAAATTCTAATTTTAACGTTTACAAATTTGTAAATAAAATCCCAGAAAACGATTATATTTTGGGAAAAAACTCAAATCTATACATTATTGGATTAATGCATGAATATTTGACTATTCCAATTGGCCAGCACTATTTTTAGGCAATTTGGAAATGTCCGTCTGTCAACCAAATGATGGACAAAATCATTTGATATGCCTTTTTCAAAGTTTCGCCGGCGTTAAAATTAGTCAAATATCAATATTTGCAAAAATTTATGAAAAAATACAGTGAATCAACAAAGTTTTTTTACCTACCTTTTTTAAGAGAATTTAGTTTTTTGTTCATAAATAAAATAAAAAAACAGGTAAAAAGTAAATTTATGTTTTCCAATTAAAAATAAAGATGGGAAAACCGTGAAAAAAAATATTAAAATACAAATTTTGGTGCATTTGTTGTTGCCTTTTATTATTTTTCATCAGAATTTGCAGGTCAATAAAGTATTTTGCATTTTTAGAATTCTAGTTAATTTCGTTGGGTTTTTAAAATTACTTTTTTAATTACTTTTTGGAATTTATTGTTTTGTTGTTGAAAGGACACTTGTTTTTCAATTGAAATTTGCAAAAATCATATCCTCATTGAAGCCTAGAAGTTATTTGCGTTAAAAATGTTTAAAGGAAAATAATGAGGCAATTCCAATATAAAAAATTAGTTTAGATTTTTAGAACAAGTATAAATCAATCAAATACAGTTATGAAATGTTTAATCAATATTATTAAAAAATATAAAATATATATAAAAAACGCACTGAGTGGTCTTTCAAAATCTTTAACTACCAGAGGGGAGCGGCTTGTATCCAAGGAAAACCATTAAACTCCTCATTTATCTTCTCCAAAGTCCATATACGAACTAGGAAGAACACTACGTTTAAATTTAGACCTCTAAACAGATGTTAGGTTGCTTGGAACCAATATAACATGAACTGTCGTCTGGTACAACAAAAATACTTAATTTAGATCAGGCGCGGATGCACGGAGGGAAAGGGGAACCCGCCAGCCCAGCCCCCCTCCGCAAAACCGAAAATTTTTGATACAAAATATAAACATGAGAAAAAATGAAAAAAGAAAATAAGTAAATATTATATTTATTTTTAGGATTTAATTTAATTTTATAAAATTTCAATTCATTTTTGTATTATATTATAATTTAACATTTTATATCTGCATCAAAGTAAGTAAAAACAACAATAACAAATAAATACATCATTTGTAGTACAAGCCTCATTTTGAATCGACTTGTATCTCTGCACACATATCACATAACAGCGCAGAAAGAAATATTAACCGTTGTACTGTAATACCACACTGAAACTGTATTACCACTTTCAAACAAATATGAGCTGTACTACCAACATATTACTGCTTTATTTCCTTGTTTTTTATGATTTTATTTATAGTTTGTTTAGGAAATTTTCAGAGGTAGTCTCAGATTTTTTGCCCATATCTCAGTTATTTATGGACCGATTTTGCAGATTTTCAATAGGAAACTTCTCGAAAGCATGTCTGACAGAATTATTGAAAATTCGGATGCCGAAGATATCTGGGGTCTTCAGAAAATTGATTTGAACAGACAGACAGACGGACATGGCTTAATCGATTCCGCTATCTATAAGGATCCAGAATATATATATACTTTCTAGGGTCGGAAAATAATATTGTGGAAATTACAAACGAAATGACAAACTTATATATATCCTTCTCACGAAGGTGAAGAAGGTGACTAAATTAATACCAACACCCCCCCCCCCCTCAACGCTTGAGCTGGATCCGCGCCTGATTTAGATATTTACAAGTAGAGGTGGTTATCATCACCTAAGGTTCACAAAAGCAATATTTTTCAGCTAATACATACACATATATAGATATAGATATATATATATGTATATATATATGTATATATATATATATATATATATATATATATATATATATATATATATATATATATATATATATATATATATATATATATATATATATATATATATATATATATATATATATTATATATTAAGAACCCAAAGAATAACTATCCAGATCCAAATGCGCCTACTGTATTATATTCATAAAATAAATCATTCATAATATAACAGTAACAGTAATACCCAAATAGATGAAGTTTCCGTAATGCAGTTTTTGTTTATCAATACAAAATGACCAAACCCCAGATTATTTTAAATAACAACCCAAAACAACAATGAAATATCTCCGAAAGCAAAAAGAACGAAATTTGGGGTTTTAATTCGCTTTTTGAGGCATTGTTTCACATTTAAAATGGCGAGTTATTTCATTATGAAATAATTCCTCAAAATTCAAATATGAAATATATCCCTAAAAAATTTCATTATATTACTTTTACCACACGAAAACAAAAAAAATGCTTGATAACGGGCCTTCGGCCGGGTGCAGTGGTTCTGCCTCTGGCTTATATTGGACACCGGCTTCGCTAAGTATACACTCTCCGTGTAAAAACAGCGTTCGGCCTTAGTCCGGCTACTTAGGTTAGGTTGATAGGAGGATGTATAGTACATCAAATCCGAAGAAATACGGCGTCATGAAATAACTCCTCACGAAATAACTCTCCAAAACAAAAATGAAATAAATCTTCAAATTTGGGGACTTATTTCATTATGAAATAATTCCCCAATTTAAAAATTAAAAAAAGCCCCAATGAAATGAAATAACTTCCTAAATTAAAATGAAATAACACCCCATTTTTGGGGATTTATTTCATATGAAACAAATCCCTAATTTTAAAATGAAATAAGTTAAAATGAAATTATGGAACAAGTGGGTTTTAGTGACATTTCTAAAAAAAGTAGGACGCTCATACTTTCGAGTGGAGCTTCAAAGTTTAATACATTTCAGTTTAATCGCTTAATAAAGATTCCCTTAATAGCCGGCCTGCGGCCGGGCGCAAAGACTTTCTCCTATATGGTATGTCCAACAACGGCTTCGCTTAATAAATATTTCCTAAATAGCCGGTCTACGGCAGGACGCAAGGATTTACCACTCTATAATATGACCAACACCGGTTTCGCTTAGTAAAGATTTTTTAAATAGCCCGCCTAAGGCCGAACACTCTTGATACAGGGAGAGTGTATTGTTAGCGAAG